CCCAAATGAATTTTTCATGTATATGATACCAACATCAAATCATATATCAGATGTCACCCTATCCCCACTGGATTTTGAAGAAGCCACAAACAGTGTGCCTATGCACTCTGCACCAGGCTCTGATTCTTGGAACACCATATTCATCAAGACTAAAAAAACACTATCGCAGGCCCTTCACATTCTTTGGAAACAAATCCTAGATACTGGCTTTATCCTTGACATACTAAAAACAGCAGAGATAGCACCACTCCATAGAGGGCAGAAATAAGGCAGAGGCAAAAAATTACAGACTGATAGCACTAACATCGCACACAACCAAGGCTGGTACACGCAGCATGAGCTAACAGAATTGCTGTTCAGCTTGTGACCACAGCATCACCTAAAAATGTCAAAATAAATATGTAACTGCTATTATTTAGCAATGACAGTACTGTATTACAGATGACCCCTGACTGATAAATATGACCACAATTGTGATAATACCAGGATTATTGTGATAATTAGCACTGTACTCACCTAGTTGTACTCACCTAGTTGTGTTTGCGGGGGTTGAGCTCTGGCTCTTTGGTCCCGCCTCTCAACCGTCAATCAACAGGTGTACAGATTCATGAGCCTATCGGGCTCTGTCATATCTACACTTGAAACTGTGTATGGAGTCAGCCTCCACCACCAGTGACTGTGTGGGAGGAGTAATGCTGAGGGAGGGAGGGAGGGAGATAGCGTCGTTTACTGACTGTGTGGCCACCTGTTATTGTCTGCAATCACCATACCAGCTCAGTGGATTTCTATGGTGAACACAAATGTAGATACTTCTATATAATGTGTGTGTATTAGTGTAATAACAGCAAAAGGATTATGTTGGGAGGAGCCATTTGGGTGATGGAGGTGGCGTCATCTATATGACTTGTCTAACTGTGTAGAGGGTGGCCACTATGCTCTTTGGGCACTCTACAAGCTTAGGTGTACAGTTACGGTGCATACAACATGTAGATACTTATATATAATATGTGTATATAGTGTAATAACACAACATACCGTATTGTTGGGGGAGAACTTTTAGTGCGCCTGACCTTGAATGAGTGAGGGAGGCAGCCGCCAGCTGACTCTGTGAGTAGCGACGTCTCTTGGTGCCTGAACTAACTATATTAGCTTAGTTGTATAGTTGTGGTGGACAAAACATGTAGATACTTATATATAATGTGTGTGTATATAATGTAATAACAGCAAAACTATTTGTTTATTGTTTTATGAACGTAATAATTGAATCACAAATATGAACACCATACTTTTGAGTATAGCGATGATTCACACATTTTATTATATAAATCGATCACACTACACACTATTGAATAATATTACTGCAAAAATCTAAGAAAAAATAAATCAGAGACATTGAAATAATTAGGTAATAATATCTTTGTGGCAACTTCCACCTGTCAGCTGTGGCGGAGCTAACCGCCTCTGACGACTGCTCTGTCAACACGCACGTTTTACCGAACTTCCTCGGCCTATTGCGTCCAAAATGTCACCTACGATTTTTTTTTTCCCGTGCTCAGGGAACAAAAATTAATATTTTTAGAAGAAAAAAAAAATTATTTTGTTTTTCTTACGCACAGGGGTGTAAATCTCCTCAGGACCCCTTAGCAGCTTAACCCTCAAACCGCGCATATCATATATAAATGATATCAGTGACAAAACCGAAACCGCGCACATCATTTATATATGATTTCGTGTCTAGCGCTATAATTTAAACTCCCCGCCTGGGATAGGGGCAGCTATAGTACAGCCACGACCGATAGTTGCCAGATGCCACCTAGAAAAAAAATCCAGGCCAACATTCTTGGGTGTGAGAGCGTCAGTATTGAGCAAGCCACCAAGGCTGGCGCACGCAGCACGAGCTCACAGCACCGCTGTTCAGCTTGTGACCACAGCATCGCCTACAAATACCATAATATATATTATACTGCTATTATTTAGCAGTGAGAGTATTACTGAAGCCCCCTGACTGTGATAAAACTGACCAGGATTCTGATAATAGCAGGATTGTGCTGATATTTAGCGCTGTGCTCCATGGAGGGAGGCGTAAGGCTGTGCGAGGGAGGGTTGTGGCGTCGTCTTCTGACTGTGTGTGGCCACCATTTATTGACTGCACTCACCATACCAGCTTAGTGGTTCGCTATGGTGAACACAAATGTAGATACTTATATATAACGTGTGTATATAGGGTATAAACAGCAAGAGGAGTAGGTTGGGAGCCGCCATTTTGGTGAGGGCGGTGGGCGACTTATGTTGTTTACTGGTGACCACAATAGTCTTTGGGCACCATACCAGCTTATTTGTTCAGGTATGGTGAATAAAACAGGTAGATACTTATATATAATATGTGTATATAGCATAATAACGCCACAAACAGTATTGTTGAAGGACAAATATTAGTGCGTCTGGCCTTGAGGGCGGCCGCCGATCAGCTGACTGTGTGAGTAGCTACGTCTTTGTGGCCTTTACTCACCATACAAGCTTAGATGTACAGTTATGGTGAACAAAACATGTAAATACGTATATATAACGTCTGTGTATAGTGAATAAATACAGAAAGAGTATTGTAGGAGGTTAATGAGGGTGAATGAGGTGGTGTTGAGGGAGTGAGTGGCTCGCTGGTGTTTGGCGGTCACTCCTCGTTGCTTTTTGACTCACAAGACCAACTTAGTAGTTCGTTATGGTGTACAAAACATGCAAATACTTATATATAACCTGTGTATATAGTGTAACAACAGCAAAACTATTTGTTTATTGTTTTATGAACATAATAATTGAATCACTAATATGCACACCATAATTTTGAGTACAGCGATGGTTCACACATTTTATAATATAAATATACCACAATTCACTGTATGGAATAATATTACTGCAAAAAAACTAAGAAAAAATCAATCAGAGACATTGAAATAATTAGGTAATAATATATTTGTGGCAACTGCCGTCTGACAGCTCGGGCGGAGTAGACCTCATCTGGCGAAGGCTCTGCCAACGCCCCTTTTTTGCCACACTTCCCTACCCTATTGCGGCTAAAATATGCCACCTACGATTTTTTTGTTATTTTTTCCGTGATCAGGGAACTAAAATGAACACTTCTATAAGACGAAAGAATTTTTTGGAATTTTTTTTTTTGTTGCGCCTGTGGGTGTGAATTCCATTTGGGCCCCTAGCGGTTTGAGGGTTAAGGGTTAAAGAACACAATAAAGTAGCCGTCACAACTGCAAGAAAAATGACAAGTTGGATAACAAGAACCTTTCACACTAAGAGATGCTATACCAATGATGCTACTTTCCAAGACACTGGTGTGGAGTACTACTGCACAATGACAACCCCTTTCAAAGCTGGAGAAATTGCTGAACTGGAGAGCATGCAGAGATCCTTTACTGCTAGAATCCATTCAGTAAAACATCTAAACTACTGGGACCGACTAAAGAGCCTAAACCTGTATTCTCTTGAGCGCAGGCGGGAGAGATACATAATAATTTACACGTGGAAAATAGTAGAGGAGCTGGTCCCAAACCTGCACACAGAAATAACATCACATGAGACCAGAAGGCATGGCAGGATGTGCAGAATACCCCCGTTGAAAAGCAGAGGTGCAACGGATACTCTGAGGGAGAACTCTATCAACATCAGAGGCCCGAGACTGTTCAACACGCTTCCACTACACATAAGGGGCTTAACTGCGTTCAAGAGAGAACTCGATAAGCACCTCCAAAGGATACCTGATCAACCAGGCTGTGATTCATACGTAAGGCTACAAGCAGCTGCGTCCAACAGCCTGGTTGATCAGTCCAACAACGAAGAGGCCTGGTTAACAACCAGGCTGCGGGGACGCTAAGCCCCGGAAACACCTCAAGGTAACCTCAAGGTAAGGTGATGCAAATATGGATATAATAGCTCTCTGTGGATGTAAATACAGAAAAACAAGTGATAAAACAATCAGTGAACCATTCGAAGACGAAACAGGAAGCGTCAGCAAAGTCGAGCACTGGGCGTTGACAAGTACCAGGCACAGCTTTTAAAATGCTTAGCTAACCTACATACGTAAATACGTAAATCTGTGTATCTATGTATTTACGTATGTAGGTTAGCTTAGCATTTTAAAAGCACCGAATCGTCTTTTGTGGTTGATTGTTCAATAAACCCTTGAACTATATGTTTAACACATCTCTAACCCTGTCCATGGAGGACAGAAGAAAATGTATATATGTTGGTTAGCATTGTAATTGTCTGGCCACGTCTGTGGTAGAAAATAATAAAAAAAAAAATAAAAAAAAAATAAATAAAAAAATAAAAAAAAACAGGCACAGCCTTGCATAGGCCCTCCACCCAGTGAGACAATAAATATTCAATTATATTCGCATTTTTTTTTATATTTTGCATATAAATTAATAATGCTATAACAAAAAATTATTTTTCCGCTATATATTTTTTATTTTTTGTACATGGGCGGGTATGACCTATCATACACGCTACATGCCGGTATGTATGTAGGCCACCATACAGGCACAAGGGTGACCTACATACATGGTTTTCTACATACATAAAAGGTATTGGTTTTCACCTTGATCCGACATTACTCCACAGTTGCTGGGAAATGGTTAAAAGCAAAAGGCAGCACACCATCTAGAATGCACCAACACTCATGATACTGTTGTGGAACTGATGAGTTCACTACTATATTGATTTTTGTAGGCATTTCAGATGAAAAAGTGTGCTGGTCTAATTATTGTACCTTTGGCATTACGATTCCTCTAATTAACATGTTTTCAATTGTTTGTTTTTATGTAGATTAGCTTAATTTGATAAATTTCACGTTTGTAATCTTTGCACTATCCACGTTAACAATTCTCAATCAAATACCCCATCTGAATAAATATAAACAGTGTACAGCTATCGGTCAGGAACCTGCGGAGGTTCTAGTCCTGCTGCAACATGACACACGGGTTATCACTCACTGTGATACTGTAGGCTTGACACTGCATGCCACACGTAACTGTCTCTGCTTCAGAGTAGCACCAGAACACACACGTCACTCTACTGTATTCTTAACCCTGAGGCTGCGACGTACATCAACTGATTTAATACAGTAGGTTGGGTCACAGTGTGATTGACATCAATGATCGAATGCACTAGAATGCACCTAAAATAACCTAAAAGGAAGAAAAGCCTTGTTATTATTATATAAAACTCATTAATCAGAAGAATTTTTGTGTTTGTGATATCATAGTGCTTTAGGAAAAGTAAAAAAATTCAGACTATTTGGAATCATTCCTTTATTGAGAATTTTCTAATAACAGATAATGAATAATGTAATACTGTAATGATATAAAATAAAGGAACAATATCAAAATTTTAGGTCCAGCAAATATCATAATAAAATTTCAGTTATGAAATACTGGATGAAATTCTGTATATCCAATGAGTATGGAGTATTATTTAATCATGTATATCTCTCTATATTTTAATCTAATTTGTAAATACAAAACTCATATACAGTAGTACTATTACTCTTGTGATTGATGGTCCACAAATGGACGGACTCATTATATTAATGAAGCAGCCCAAGGGTTCAAAACATATAATGCCCCAGCCTCCTCCCTTTATTTCTACACGTATGGTAAAAAGTTTGTTTTGACCATGGTTATCTTCTTGAGATGATTTCGGGGCTTTAGTGTCCCCGCGGCCCGGTCCTCGACCAGGCCTCCACCCCCAGGAAGCAGCCCGTGACAGCTGACTAACTCCCAGGTACCTATTTACTGCTAGGTAACAGGGGCATTCAGGGTGAAAGAAACTTTGCCTATTTGTTTCTGCCTCGTGCGGGAATCGAACCCGCGCCACAGAATTACGAGTCCTGCGCGCTATCCACCAGGCTACGAGGCCCCTATGCCGTGGAGTAGTGGTGTAGGGCGCTAGCTTGGGAGTACAGTACCTAGTGAATGGGTTCACATCCTCCTCAAAGCTCCTACCGATCTTTTCATTGATACAACACGTTAATGTGACTTCCTTGTGTCCTCCCCCTCTTTGCTTCACAGGCCTACCAGCCTATTGATTGGAAGCTGAAGTGACCAAGTACCAAAAATTGTGATTCATCTTTATCTGCTCTTTCTATAATGTCCCCCATGATCATTATGAGGCCCTCTCACTTGTCATCCAGCTATCTGCTCTTTCTATAATGTCCCCCATGATCATTATGAGGCCCTCTCACTTGTCATCCAGCTCCTTTCTCCATGTGTTGCTTCCTGGTGTACTGCAGCCATTTATGATTCTCAGTTTATCATTTGATTCCAAATCCCCAGTGCCATTATGTCACCGTCTCTTGGATTGTCAACTACTAAATTACTGTATATTATTTTCAGGTGTTTTTTCACCAGCAAAGACACTCCTCCACTTTTTCAAATTTTTCTGTCCCATCTCCAAATTAAGCAGCCCCCTCATTCAAAATATTATCTTCAACATTCGTCTGTTAAGTGTGAAAAACTCTGACAACTTATGCTGTATTATATCATTTAGCACCAGAATTTTTAATCTCCCACTATCTATAATAGTATACTGTATCTGTATATGATTTTCATTAACTTGTTCCCACTCCATTTTACCTCTACTACCCTTCCAAGTAATGATTTCGTTTGTAAGTTTTTATTGTACTATTTCACAGGCTTCCAGGTTCTTATAACCTTGTAAACAAGATATTTCTTCCTCATTCCTACCCTAATTTAGACATTTTGCTTCAGCAAGATTTAGTTGAGCTTCTTTTGCCTTCATTTGAAATGTCATGTCTAGGGCAGTGTGGGCTGGTGGGTGCTGTATGACTGGGCAGTGTGGGCTAGTGGGTGCTGTATGACTGGGCAGTGTGGGCTGGTGGATGCTGTATGACTGGGCAGTGTGGGCTGGTGGGTGCTGTATGACTGGACAGTGTGGGCTGGTGGGTGCTGTATGACTGGGCAGTGTGGGCTAGTGGGTGCTATATGACTGGGCAGTGTGGGCTAGTGGGTGCTGTATGACTGGACAGTGTGGGCTGGTGGGTGCTGTATGACTGGGCAGTGTGGGCTGGTGGGTGCTGTATGACTGGACAGTGTGGGCTGGTGGGTGCTGTATGACTGGGCAGTGTGGGCTAGTGGGTGCTATATGACTGGGCAGTGTGGGCTAGTGGGTGCTGTATGACTGGGCAGTGTGGGCTAGTGGGTGCTGTATGACTGGGCAGTGTGGGCTGGTGGGTGCTGTATGACTGGGCAGTGTGGGCTGGTGGGTGCTGTATGACTGGGCAGTGTGGGCTGGTGGGTGCTGTATGACTGGGCAGTGTGGGCTGGTGGGTGCTGTATGACTGGGCAGTGTGGGCTGGTGGGTGCTGTATGACTGGGCAGTGTGGGCTGGTGGGTGCTGTATGACTGGGCAGTGTGGGTTGGTGGGTGCTGTATGACTGGGCAGTGTGGGCTGGTGGGTGCTGTATGACTGGGCAGTGTGGGCTGGTGGGTGCTGTATGACTGGGCAGTGTGGGCTAGTGGGTGCTGTATGACTGGGCAGTGTGGGCTAGTGGGTGCTGTATGACTGGGCAGTGTGGGCTAGTGGGTGCTGTATGACTGGGCAGTGTGGGCTGGTGGGTGCTGTATGACTGGGCAGTGTGGGCTAGTGGGTGCTGTATGACTGGGCAGTGTGGGCTAGTGGGTGCTGTATGACTGGGCAGTGTGGGCTAGTGGGTGCTGTATGACTGGGCAGTGTGGGCTAGTGGGTGCTGTATGACTGGGCAGTGTGGGCTAGTGGGTGCTGTATGACTGGGCAGTGTGGGCTAGTGGGTGCTGTATGACTGGGCAGTGTGGGCTAGTGGGTGCTGTATGACTGGGCAGTGTGGGCTAGTGGGTGCTGTATGACTGGGCAGTGTGGGCTAGTGGGTGCTGTATGACTGGGCAGTGTGGGCTGGTGGGTGCTGTATGACTGGGCAGTGTGGGCTGGTGGGTGCTGTATGACTGGGCAGTGTGGGCTAGTGGGTGCTGTATGACTGGGCAGTGTGGGCTAGTGGGTGCTGTATGACTGGGCAGTGTGGGCTGGTGGGTGCTGTATGACTGGGCAGTGTGGGCTAGTGGGTGCTGTATGAGTGGGCAGTGTGGGCTAGTGGGTGCTGTATGACTGGGCAGTGTGGGCTAGTGGGTGCTGTATGACTGGGCAGTGTGGGCTAGTGGGTGCTGTATGACTGGGCAGTGTGGGATAGTGGGTGCTGTATGACTGGGCAGTGTGGGCTAGTGGGTGCTGTATGACTGGGCAGTGTGGGCTAGTGGGTGCTGTATGACTGGGCAGTGTGGGCTGGTGGGTGCTGTATGACTGGGCAGTGTGGGCTAGTGGGTGCTGTATGACTGGGCAGTGTGGGCTAGTGGGTGCTGTATGACTGGGCAGTGTGGGCTAGTGGGTGCTGTATGACTGGGCAGAGTGGGATAGTGGGTGCTGTATGACTCGACCACACCCAAGGCGAACCCACTCCAAGACGACCTGACAGCGCAGGGGAAGAGGTCTGCTCCGCCAGCCCCGAACCCCCAGAAGGTGGGGGGGGGAGCCACTCAACGCCACCGGAGGCCGTGCAAAACGCCCCGAAACGCCCACGAATCGTGGGACCAGGCGTGAGTGAACAGTGCAAGCATTCCCCCCATGTCCCCGTGAATGGGGCGAACCGCGAAAGGGCCGGCGCCCCTTACGAGATCCAGAACCTCGCACAGAGCAAACATCGCACCGACCAGGTGAAGGCGGGCCCGTAGGAGGAGCCGAACCCGAACCCGACACCAGTGGCCTACCACGATGAGAGGAACCCCGAGCCTTGGCACAACCCTTCAGGGAAGGCCCACCACGGGATCCCCTGAGAACCAGTAAGTCCGACACAGGACAGCAACAAGTCGAAGCTGCCAGAATATACTACGCAACGGCGGAAGCCTCAAACAGGAGAGGACAAAAGGGTGAAGACATACTAAGAGCCAAGGCCCAAGCAGATTCCACAGAGGCGGCAAGCACCGCCTGCCGACACGCGAGCTGGGAAGCATAAAACAGCGCAACCGCATCCCGCAAGATCGGCGTGAAAAGCTTCATCAAGGCAGCCGACAAGTGAGCGGCCAAGGCGACAGAACCAGGAACAGCCCCAAGCACCCCCACATCCTCCCTGAGCCAGTCCGAAGACAGCTCGAGGAGGGAAAAGAAATGCAAGGCTGAAGCCAAAAGGCCCCGGGCGTGCAAGTCCTCTACCACCTGCGCCGCGGAAAGGGAGGGAACCTGCACATGGAGCTGAACGACACCAATATCCCGGGGAAGGGCAGGAGCGAACAAGCACTCATTGAGGTGCTCTAAGTCGCCCCCCAGGAAAACCTGCAGCACCGTCGAAGCCTCCTGCCACTCAAGCATGCGGGAACGGCAAGAGTGCCAGGCCCCCAAAGTAAAGACAGGACAGTCCGCCAGCCAGGACGACTCCGGAACCTCGTAACGGAGCCAGAAAGGGAAAGAAGTCCCAAACCTGAAAGCCGAGGGATCCATTGCCGAGGCATAATCTGGGTCATGCAGGAAGTTTGCCCCAAGGGCCACCCGCACCGCAACAGGTTGGATGCGATAAGTCGAAAACCTCCGGAAAGACGGAACCAAAGCCTCCCGGGGGAACACGGAACCGAACAAGGGGAGGGGCAGACACAAAGTCCAACTAGTACGCAGAAAGGGAAAAGAAAATCCTACCCCTTGTAACAGTAAGCCCCGCTCAGAGGGCAGTAAAACCCAGGCGGAATCCAGCATGGCCCAAAGCCCCCAAGTCAGCCCCCTCCCCAGCCCCAAGATCCTCCTCCACAGGACCCGGGGCCTGTGGAGGTGTTACTAAAAAAGTTTGGCAAAGACATTCCTGGCATACAAAGACCCATTCAGAGCCCAGTACAGGTATTGCACCATGCTGCTACACCCAGGCTCACTTACACAAAGGCCATTCAAGTGTACAGACTAAAATATTTGCCACCATCTGGAAAGCATGCAATAGCCCAGGGTGAGTGCATGGTTTGTAAAACCACATAAACAAGACCACAGAAATGTAAACTAGTATAAACATGGTGTGAAGTGTGTTCCGTCCCTTTGTGTCATGTCAATTGCTTCAACGACTACTACTGTCTCCAGGACTTGTAAATGCTCAATAACGGTGCAA